AAAAAACACACATACACATTCATTCTTTGCTACATGAATATAAAGCCACTGAAATGCTAGAAGGTGATTGAACTGGATGGAACACTGTTAAATACATGCTTAGCCTCATGTTATGGATCATTTCCATTGACATCTATCTGCATCCTTGGTACCGTTTAATTAAAGCTGTCTGGAACAAGTCTGCCCTCTAAATGATCGGCAGAGCAATGAAAAGGTGAAACACGAGGAGGCTTGAGGCCTTTTTTGTAAAGCATTCAAATGACTGTCTCTGTGGTTAAGGAGAGCAGCAGGGAAGAAATTCGTTTTCAAAATTAGCTAGCCATTAGGCTTTTCTGTAAGAGAAGGCAAGGCTCCTTCTGATGTTATCTTAGAACACCAGAAACCAAGTCAGGTATACCAGACCTTAAAAACTCAAACTGAGCCATATTCTGGTCCAAAATAGATATGCTTTTTTTTTTTTTTTTTGGTTCTAAAGCAGTAAATATAACAGCAAACTTTCTTATTTGTAGTTACTTTGCAAAATATAACCCCCAAATGGAACAATTTTGCCTAAAATAGTCCCTTTCTTCAGATAGTTTTGCAACTAGATGGCAGGAACACCATCTATTTAATTTGGTTTTACAGCATATAGAATACTAGCATGGCAAGTATAGCTTCAAACAAGATATTTCTTGAATAACCTTCATGTTTCCAGCACTGTTAAGGTTCTGGGGAAACAGTAAACAAAATATGGATCCAGAGCGTAAGAAATGTGGAACATACTTAAAAGATTGAATCTTAAATTAGCTAATTATACCTACTTCTTTTCTATAGTACTTTCTCTCCCCTTTATTATGATTTCATTTAAAGAGTTATAAATTATATTTGTTCTTCAATACCAGAATTAATTATACTTTATAAAATTGTCCAAAGGACTGTGACATGTTTAAAATTTTCATTCATTGGCTTCTCCACGCAAATCTATCTGTCCTGATGTGGGCTTATCGTCTTCATTTAATATTTATTTGGTATCTACTGCATAGATGACACTGAATTATACCCTGCATCCTCCTGCCCCCACCCCCACCTCAAATGACTTTGTCTCTCTCTGTCTGTTATAACATGTTCGTCCAGGCTGGCAAAAGGTAACAGTAGCACTAAACAGAAAAGCGCTCCTAAATTCACTTAGGATGATGTAGGAGTGCAGATCATCCTAGCCCTGATGCCCTGATAACAGGAATTAGTCAGACCTGGAAGATACTATATTGAAGCAAATAGGTCATAAGTTAAAGCCTATTAAGTAGGACAACACTTATTGAGTGACACTGTGCTGGGAACTCTGGGGAACAGGAAACAAGCACAGGCATCCTCAACAAACTCAAAAATTGGGAAGATGTACACACTGAAAGTCACAAGGAATGATGGTGTCAGATAAGCAAAAACTGGAGACTGTAGGGCAGGCAAAAGCGCCTAGCTGAATCCAGTTGTCCAGCTGTCCTCATTGAAGGCACCAGACATGTGAATGAAGCTGCCTTGAGCCCTCCAGACAAGCCAGCTACCAGATAAATTCCAATGAGTAACTCTTGTTAATGCCACATGGAGCAGAACAATTGCTCAGCAGAATCTTGCCCAAATATCTGATTCACAGAATCAAGAAATATAAAACAGTGATGGTTGTTGTTTTAAGTCACTAAGTTTTGGAGTATTCTGTTATGTGGCAATATATAACTAGAATGGAGGCTGTGCCATAAAATGAATGTGTCATGGGCTTCCCTGGTGGTGCAGTGGTTAAGAATCCGCCTGCCAATGCAGGGGACACGGGTTCAAGCCCTGGTCCAGGAAGATCCCACATGTTGCAGAGCAACTAAGCCTGTGCGCCACAACTACTGAGCCTACGTTCTAGAGCCCGCGAGCCACAACTACTGAGCCCACATGCCACAACTACTGAAGCCCACGCGCCTAGAGCCTGTGCTCTGCAACAAGAGAAGCCACTGCAATGAGAAGCCTGCGCACCGCAATGAAGAGTAGCCCTTGCTCTCCGCAACTAGAGAAAGCCCGCCTGCAGCAACGCAACCAAAAAAAGTCCCAAAGCAGCCAAAAAAATAAAATAAATAAATTAAAAAAAAAATGAATGTGTCATGATAAGCCCCCAACTTAGAGTTATAGTAGTAGGAACTGAAGAGAGGCACATGTCTTGGGGAAAAGATCCTAAGTTTTCCTTTGTGTTTATAACAGGTTGACAAATTTTTTCTGTAAAGGACTTTGTGGGCTGTATGATCTCTGTTACTCAGCTGTGTCATTGTAGGGCAAAAGAAGCCATAGACAATATATAAATGAATTTGGGTAGCTGAGTTTCAAGAAAACTTTATTTACAAAAACAGGCTGCCGGCCAAAGTTGGCCATAGGTCATAGATTGCTTTCCCCTGGTTTATAATGTTTGAGATACTGAGGAAAATTTAACCGGAAATATGCTATATGTAGATGATACACAGGAATGGGGCTTTGTGACAAGTCAGGGCTGGAGATATGGATTAGAGAATAGATAAATATTTTTGAAGAGAGCCTAGGATACTACTGTTGTATCTTCTTAAGGATGCTTTTACTTTGTTATTTCTTTTAAATGATATTAGTTAGGATAGTTGGTAAACACATTAGTGGGCTGAGGCATTACTTGAATCTTTAAGTGGTACCACTGAACCAGGGAATTTATAATCTGGAGACATCAGAGGACAAAATCAAATAGATTTTCAGATATATCAATAGTGGTCCTGGGTCCACTGTCAATGGTTTTCAAATCTGTGAAATTTTAACCCAATGTATTTTATGAGTAAATTGGACTATTCTAGAACCATTTTTTCTAAGTGTGGCCAATATCATTCTAATTTTTATCACATTCATGATTTATTTGAACAGTATGAGTTTGGCAATACTTCTTGCTCATATTTGAAAAGCATCTATAACATTAATGTCCCAAGTATTTATATCCCAAACTATCTAGAAAAGTCAATGGTTATTTTCCATAATTTATGATATATTGAAGGCATTTTATCATGCTATTTACTGTTATGTCATGGGAAGAGTGTGACCTTTGAAGAAATAAAACAAGCAGTTTTTTAGTTCTCCTGCATATCTGCTAAGTTTATGGATATTTATTTTAGGCTTTATAAAAATTCTATCAGGCAGCTAAACAGTTGAGACTCACACAGCATGTAAATTCTATTAAACAAGGGCTCTTTACCCTTTCACCTATTGCCCTACGTGTGCTTGGTACAGTGGTGCAACTATTCAGAACAAATACCAATAGTCTGCTTAAAATCCTTAATATAAGGAATGCAGGCTTGCTAGAGGGTTCTGGTGAATATTCAAAGGGGTTTTTATCCACTTAAGGCAAAGAATGGTTTGAACAGTTCTGTTTTTGGCCACAAAAAGAGCACCCTGGTTAAGAGGTGAAGGCTTCTTGTGGTTCCTGCATTTGATAAAGTACAGACCTTGCTGCCTTCCCTCATAGACCTGTGACCTCAAGCTCTGGCCTTTAGACTTTTTTCCTCCTCCTCGAGAGAAATGATTAGTAAGGTCCTTCTATTAGATATGTTAGCAGTTTGTGCTAAAAAGAGGATTTTAATAATATTGAATTGCAAAGAACTATGAGGCAAGGCTTTACTCTAGATACTAAGACAAACCCAGCTTAAGTTGGTACCATAGCTCCTACGAAGGGCCATCTGTTTAGCTCTAATAGTATTTTCTTTTTTTTTTTTTTTTTCACCTTTGTAGCTTGGTTTCAAACCCTGTCTGGGACACCTGCTCAATGTGAAATGAGATTGGTGGGTCTCAGTCCATTTGTGGCTGGCTGAAATTTTCCATCTTCTTTTCCAGAAAAATGGTCCATAAGGAAATGAAGTGAAAAGAGTTAGATGTCACACGTGCATTCACGTGTAGGTGTACTGGAGGCCTAGATAATCTTCCTGTGTGAAAAGTACAATATAAATTCAGCACTGGTTCATTGGTTCATCCACTTTGCCTCTCAGCAGCTCTCCAACACCTGAGGTCTCCTGTCTCCTAAAGATGATGCAACTTTAGGGACATCTTTTTACTATTCTAAGCCACTGCATAATTTGAGCTGAGATTGTAACGTTGCTTGAAATTGGCTGTGATTTGCTGCTTCATTTAAACAGGGATGGTGTATGAAAGTGGTATAGAGGTACATGTTATGAGCTTTTTTACATTATGTGAATAGATCTAAAGTCTCCATAAACAACAATGAAAGAATTTTCATAGTTTATGAGTAAACAGATTCGATGCCTTCAGACCATACATTACTCAAGAGAGAAAGTAGAACACCGTAAGTTATTATAACCCAAGGCAATATTGCCTTAAGGTGGTATGAATTTTGATTTCAAAAGTCAATAGGGTCTTTTCCATATAAATTTAAAGCCACCAAAAATTTCACTGAACTTACTAAATACACAATTAGTTTCTTGTTACAGATAATTTCTATTGATTCAAATCTGGTTAGTCAGCATGGATTAATCAAAATCGTCAGGGATTGATATCTGGGTGGCTCAAGGGATCAGTTCCTGGGCTACAAGCCTTTCACCCCCAGGTCACTGTTTCTAATACTTAGAGGAGTTTTGAGAGGCCTGTTTGACAGTTGGTGTAAAACAAACCAGTACTTTGAACTAAGTCCTTCACATAGACTCATTGTCTCTTACATTCAAAGACACTATCATGCTTGTCTGAGGGTATATGTAAGGTGAAAAATTATTGCATTATCAGCAGTGCTAGTTATTATTCATAGATATGTTAATATTTATAGTCTCCTATGGTAAACAACAATGGTTGCTATCTTCAAGGCCTGCTGTATCCAGTTATTGAATATTTATCTCTGTATGACATTTTCCTGCAAATGAAACCAGCTAATCCCTGATTGGTTGCCTCAAACTATTATATATTCTTTCCTTTGGAGAAATGTTTCTTTTCTAAAGATTGTATGTGTGAATTTCCTTCCTTTGTTTGCTTTTCAGGTCTTTTCTAAAGTGCAGGTTAGGGGCTTCCCTGGTGGCGCAGTGGTTAAGAATCTGTCTGCCAATGCAGGGGACACGGGTTCGAGCCCTGGTCTGGGAAGATCCCACATGCCATGGAGCAACTAAGCCCGTGCGCCACAACTACTGAGCCTGCGCTCTAGAGCCTGCGAGCCACAACTAATGAGCCTGTATGCCACAACTAGTGAAGCCCACGGACCTAGAGCCCGTGCTCCGCAACAAGAGAAGCCACCGCAATGAGAAGCCCGCACACTGCAACGAAGACCCAACACAGCCCAAAATACAAAAAACAAGTAAGTAAATTTATTAAAATAAATAAAGTGCAGGTTATAATGTTCTTATCTTTTCCCATTAAGTAAAAACTCCAGGTCCAGGTCCTCCAGACAGATGGCTTCTCTGAAGAAATATTGTTCCTAGCAGTTCTTGGTTTAGATGATTATCCTTCACTCGCTCAGTCGTTAGGAGGCCTTTAATCTCAACCTGGGCATCCATAGTGATCTGCTGGGTAGTGCATAGGCCCTGATCTTTGGCTACTTGAGCTCATCACACTAGGCCAAAGATCTGAAGGTGCTCTTTCCTTCAGACCTCAATGTGGCTGAAGCTCCTAATAGCCTTCTTTATTCAAGGTGAGTTAGGTAACCTTGTTTTCTAGATCTTTCTAGCGGTAGTACCATAGATTTTGTTGCCAGGGGCCAAACACCCTGTTTCTTTCCTGGCTTGGTTGAAAACTTAATAGAGTTTTATTACAAAGATATTAGCCATTCTTATTTAGAAGAGAAAGAAAGAACCCTGGTTACTCAGGACAAAAGAAAAGAGATTTTAGCTATCCTGGATTATTTATGAAGTTTTGTTGCTTTTCCTTACTAAGGTATTTTCAATTTCTGGCTTTCCTATGACACTATACATCGAGGAAGCTAAACATAGTGACTGGTACCTATACTGACTGCTGTACTGTGAATTCAAGTTCATGGTTTTTAATAATATAAAGAATAGGAAGTATCTAGTGCTTTCTGAAGTATTCTCAGAGGGAGCTCGTGGTAACCTTTGGATGTTGTGGAGGAAACAGCATGGTTCTCTACCCCTGGGTCATGTATATACAATGAAGCCAGCTTGGTAGAATGTCTCAATAATAGAGATCATGTGTTGGAGGGGGTCAAGGGAATTACCAGTTATCCATGTGTCTATGGCTACTTAACTTCAAGTCTCATTGCTGTGGAACTGGAAGTGAAGATGTAGGAGGTTCTAATTAAACCAAGCAATGTACCTTCAGGGATTCTAGATGTCAGGGAGGTAGCCAATTCCAGATTGCTGACAAAAATTGCTCCAAATTGATCTGAGTCCTCCTGGCTCATAGAGCTGTAGGTGTGGAAGGAAGAAGGAAGATCCTCTGATTTCAAGGAAATGAATGGAGTTGACCTAGTTAAGTGTTTTTCCTTCCTAGTGTAGGGAAGGGGAAGCAGACAGTTACTTTCATAAAACTTCTCAATTGAGGATGGAACTCTTCTGGATTCTCCCTTAGAGAATCTACTGTTCTCCTGGAGATAGGCTGTCAATAAGTTCAGTAAAAGCATTGCATTCCTTGGGCTTTATTTTCTTCCCAGTCCTCCCATAATACCTTATATACATTTCAATTACAACATCAAACTGAACTACAACTGTTTACCTGGTTTTCCTTCTCAATGGATAATGAGGACAGTAACTGTATGTTATTCATCTTTATATCCTCAGATCAAGGATAGACTGGCACATTACCTGTACTCAACAAATGTATGACAAGGGAGTGAATAGGAGAAACCAGAGAGAAACACTGGGTCTTCCACACTTTTCTTTTTTAATTAATTAATTTATTTATTGGCTGCGTTGGGTCTTCGTTGCTGCGCGTGGGCTTTCTTTAGTTGTGGCGAGCGGGGGCTCCTGTTTGTTGCGGTGTGTGGGCTTCTCATTGCGGTCTTGTTGCCGAGCATGGGCTCTAGGTGTGTGGGCTTCACCAGTTGTGGCGCACGGGCTTAGTCGCTCTGTGGCATGTGGGATCTTCCCGGACCAGGGCTCGAACCCGTGTCCCCTGCATTGGCAGGCGGATTCTTAACCACTGTGCCACCAGGGAAGCCCCACACTTCTTTTTAACCCTACTCTTTCCTTTTGGTGATGATGCCTTAGACATTGAATCATTCCACATTAATATAGTATAGTTGGTAAGCATGTGTATGCCATGTGCTTAAGTTGAATTGCAATTCTGACACTTTTTAGCTATGTGATTTTGAGCAAGACTTAAATGTCTGTAGAATCAGAATAATACTTATTTCATAGGGATGTTGTGCAGATTAAATAAGTTAATGTATAGGGTCTGGCACATAGAAATTACCCTATGATTACCATCACCATCAAAGTGAGACTGTGGCCAGTTTGTTATTGTTGAGTCTAGATGAGAGAGAAAACATCTGTAGTAGCAGGTAAGAGGGCCAGAATTATTGTTGTGGACAAGACTAAAGGATCTATTAACCCATCGTTACCGTGCATCCTCTGTATGATTTGATTTACCAGGTGGAAGTACGAGACTTCCTTATTCTAATTTCCTTTAGAGAAATAAATATGATTATTTAGTCAAGGGGATCCCTTTTATCTTCCAGGTGGCCAAGAGGTATCTGTTTGTGTCTGTGTGTGTGAGAGGGAGGGTAGGTATGGGTGTGGGTGGCTGATTTGAGCTGTTTCAATATCCAGCAATCGTGGAGGCAGAGAGAGAATGGAGTGTGGGAGTGCAAAAGTATGGAATGCCAACATTCTGACCAAGCCAGAGAATGCTCCAAGATTCCTAGGTGGGGCCTCGAAATTCAAGGGAAAGGAGGCACCTTATGGACAGAAAGCTCTGGAAGAAGTCTGGCACTAGAAGGGAAGACCTATTAGAGGAATGGAGGAACATTGGAGAAGAGAAAACACCTTAGCCTAGTACCTTTTGTACACAGCAGCAGAATAGTATAGTATGCTAGAAAGTAGTAGTACTGAGTGACTGTAAAATCAATATAAAATTAAAAAAAAAATTCTGGAAAGACATGACAATCTCTTGGGTCTATATTGCTCTGGAGAAATGTAGTCATTTCATATTTAGATTTCTTTCAGTTAGCATCTTTTACTTAACCTTAAGTCTCTCTATATTATCTTTTTTTTCCTTACTTTATTTGCACTCACAACTCTGCTAAAATAAATTGGTACCTGGAACTATATAGGTGTTGTTTGTCTTTCACCATGGCCAGTTCTAAATAAGCAACAAATGAAAAAAACCCCTATATACCCAGACCTTGATTTGAAAGATATCTTGAAGATGTACAATATGCTAAACTAGGGAAAATCTTGGGAATAATCAGCACAATACATTTTTCTCTCCATTATAATCAGTTTTTCAGCCTCTATGTCAATAAAACTTTTTCTCCTTTTTCACAATGGTTTACAACTTAAATAATTTAATACAACAGTTGTTATATTTTTATTGCAAGCTTATAAAACTGGAACCATAAATCTTTTCTATGCAATATATTACCAAAAAGTGACACTGGAGAAGGGGAACTGATGATTACTAAAACTGTAATTCAATCTTCAGGTTCTCAAGATGTCATAAAAATGGCTTCTGCTTTACTTGTGTATGGCAGATACTATCAGGATGCCCCAAATGAACTCTCTCTGGGTGTTCAGTCTCTCCTTTGGCATTATTTTATATACAATAAAAATAAAAATGGGACTTCACAATGCAAGTGCAACTGTGATCCAAGCCCAGTAGTTCTTTTGTCAAATAGGATTTTCTTTTATGAGTTTCATTTTGGAATTAATTTTGATATCAATGCCTGTCAGGCTGTGGAAATTGAGCTGAACCAAGTGAGTCTATTCCTATTTGAGCTGACATGTAGGAAATGGTAATTAGAAAAAATGCAGAGAGTCTGTACTGTGCTGTAGAAAATTAAACTCATCATGCCACATATTGTCAATCTGGTTAAAAGTATAGGTGTGATAAATAGAAACATTCTATAAATGCCTAATCTTTCATATATTTAAAAATTTACCACTTTCACCCTGCCATATTAGTTGTCAGGAAATAATTTTCTAGTTCTAATTGCTGCTATGATCTAAAAGGTCTGTAAATTAATAACAGATTTCTGTAGTATTTACTATCAATGTTCCACAAAACTTAGGACTCTAGCATGGAAGGAAATGTCTTCCTTTTAGAAAAAGATGACGGTTAGTTACTTGTACATTCTTGCCAGTTGTTGTCATTCAACAACTGAGAGTTGAATGAGAGTACATCTGTACTCTCTTCAGTGTAAGACCAAGAAACATCAAATTCTCCAAACCTCTTAATATGTCCAACATTCAGTTAATTTACAGACTATGGTGTGAATGAAATTGATGAACTTTTGCCTGTTAAAAATGATACTTTGCCTCTGCATTAAGGCACTACAGCAATACTTTACAAAATTCTTTTGAAATCACAGGATGAGAATAAATTAAGTGGAAGAATTGAACTTTCATAGTATGGCTGCTGAGGGATCAACACATACAGTTGAAAAGTGAAATTTCCATTGATTCCCCAGCCTGAGAGAGTGCAGGCAGCACCGTGTGGGTTTCTGCATTTTGTCTCTCAGTGAATGCAATGCTGACCCATTCCATGAGGGGTGAAAGGTCACAGACGCTATGTGAGTGGTGTTTCATTTTCACCACAACTGAGGGTGCTAATCGTGTAACATTAGGGTGAGTTACGGTGATTATAGCAGGCTGAACATGGAGAGATTAAACAATAACAACAGCACAACCACAGCTGTGTTGGTAGTGATGAAAAGATGGTACTTTCATGGCCCCATGCCAATGGGTTTGATTGGGATTCTGGAAACCTCTGGTGAAAGACACCTTACCCTCTCCAGGCTAGCTTTTTCCTAAACCACCTCTATAATAAGCAGAGTCACAATAACCCATTTTAACAGTTTTTAGTAATGGAAAGGGCTCAAAACATTCTCCTCCACAATGCTGAGGTCTCATTAGTCTACAGAGTAAACATGCATTCCAGAGTCACTGCTTTCTAGCAAGTTTTCACTTTTTACAGCTGTTAG